TTATCTTTGTAATGATGTTGTAATAAACTTGTATATTTTGAATTAATTGTTGTTGGGTCTGGGCACCTCAAAAATCTGTTCCCTTCGTGTTGTATATGAACACCTCGCCACCTTGTCCTATCAGAAACGCTTTGCAGTCATTGATCCAGAAGACTGCGGCAATCACTGTAGTAGTGCTGACTACTACAGTGGTTCTCTACTTCCACAGCAGTTTCACAAGTATGGCATATTCATACATATAGTGAGGAACATAAGTATTTGAACACCCTGCGATTTTGCAAGTTCTCCCACTTAAAAATCATAGAGGGGTCTGAAATTCACATTGTAAGTGCGTTCCCACTCTGAGAGACAGAATTTAAAAAAAGAATTCAGGAAATCACATTGTATGATTTTTAAAGAATTTGTCTTGCATTGATGAACATAAGTATTTGAACACCTAAGAAACAGCAAGAATTCTGGCTTTCAAAGACCTGTTACTGTGCCTTTAAAACGTCCACCTCTCTCCACTCATTAATCTAACTTAGTAGCCCCTGTCTGAGCTCTTTAAAGACACCTGTCCACCCCACAGTCAGTCAGACGCCAACTACTACCATGGGCAAGACCAAAGAGCTGTCAAAAGACACCAGAGACAGAATTGTGGACCTCCACAAGGCTGGAAAGGGCTACGGGCAATTGCCAAGCAGCTTGGTGAAAATAGATCAACTGTTGGAGAAATTGTTGGAAAATGGAAGAGGCTAAAGATGACTGTCAGTCTCCCTCGGACTGGGGCTCCATGCAAGATCTCACCTCGTGGGGTATCACGGATGATAAGAAAGGTAAGGAATCAGCCCAGAACTACAAGGGAGGAGCTGGTCAATGACATGAAGAGAGCTGGGACCACAGTTTCAAAGGTCACTGTCGGTAGAACACTACGCCGTCATGGTTTCAAATCATGCATTGCACGGAAGGTTCCCCTGCTCAAGTCATCACATGTGCAGGCCCGTCTGAAGTTTGCCAATGACCATCTGGATGATCCAGAGGAGGCATGTAAGAAAGTCATGTGGTCAGATGAGACCAGAGTAGAACTTTTTGGTCTAAACTTTACTCGCCGTGTTTGGAGGAAAAAGAAGGATGAGTTGCATCCCAAGAACACCATCCCTACTGTGAAGCATGGGGGTGGTAAACATCATGCTTTGGGGGTGCTTTTCTGCGAAGGGGATAGGACGACTGCACTGTATTAAGGAGAGGATAAATGGGGCCATTTATTGTGAGATTTTGAGCAACAACCTCCTTCCCTCAGTCAGAGCATTGAAGATGGGTCGTGGCTGGGTCTTCCAACATGACAACGACCGAAGCACACAGCCAGGATAACCAAGGAGTGGCTCCGTAAGAAGCATATCAAGGTTCTAGAGTGGCCTAGCCAGTCTCCAGACCTAAATCCAATAGAACATCTTTGAAGGGAGCTGAAAATCCGTGTTGCTCAGCGACAGCCCCGAAACCTAACAGATCTAGAAGAGATCTGTGTGGAGAAGTGGGCCAAAATCCCTGTTGCAGTGTGTGCAAACCTGGTCAAGAACTACAGGAAACGTTTGACCTCTGTAATTGCAAACAAAGGCTTCTGTACCAAATATTAACACTGATGTTCTCAGGTGTTCAAACACTTATGTTCAGCAGTGTAAGACAAATAAATTCTTTAAAAATAATACAATGTGATTTCCTGAATTTTTTTTTTAAATTCTGTCTCTTAGAGTGGGAATGCACCTACAATGTGAATTTCAGATCCCTCCATGATTTCTAAGTGGGAGAACTTGCAAAATCGCAGGGTGTCCAAATACTTCTGTTCCTCACTGTACATTAGTCCGAGCTGGACCAAAGAAACTATTAAATAAAATCCAAACTTGGAGTGCACCTTTAATTCCTGATAAGGACTCCAAAGTCTGCCTTTATTCTCTTTATACAATGCCACAACTTAGATTTTGTATCTTTCTATTAGAATCACTTTTCCTTACACAAGGACATAACTACAAATTGATACAAATGTATTTGTTTGCTTATGCATGCTTTCTTACAGAGCTATAACAATCATATCTCCAACACTGTTTAAGCACAGTAGGCTTTTTCAGTTCTCACATGGATACCATCAATTGTTTTATTGGTCTCGTGTATATTTTAGTTCAAAACACTTTTAACGTTTTTAAACAGTATGGTTTGTGTATTTAACCACTTTCTGTCGACCGATTCTGTCATTTCTCACACACATGTAAAAATCTGCATTTTTTGCTGAAAAATTTCTTAGAACCGCCAAACATTATATATTTTCTGTATGCAAAGGCCCTGGAGAACAATATAGTGGTTGTTGCAATTTTTCATGTCACACAATATTTCCGCAGTGATTTAGCAACTTTTCAGGAAAAAATACACTTTAAAACGTAGTTCCAATCAAAAGTGGAAGATATGCTTATTTGCCTCCTCCCCCACTCCACTGCCATATTTGGCACATTTTGGGGGAGAGTGGATACCTGTTTTTGACAGATACGCGCTCCTATTTTCGGCTCAGTTCACTGCGGCGAAGTGAGCCGGAAGTTCGGCCCCCTTATTCCTCCCGCAGTCTCCTCAGAATCCTCACAGGTCCCAGAAGACTGCCGGACCAATGAGAATGCACAGCATGACTCACGCATGCACAGTGGGCACCCAGCTGTGAAGCCGCAAGCTGTCACGGCCTGGTGCCCACAGTTGTGATGCCGGCACCAGGGAGGGAAGAGGCAGAGAAGGGACGGAGCGGGTGAGCACATCGCTGGGACCTGGGACAGGTAAATGTGTGTTTATTAAAAGTCAGCAGCTACAGTTTTTGTAGCTGCTGACTTTTAATAAACACAGAACAGACTGGAACTCCACTTTAATGAATACTAGTGCACACAAACACAAATATAATTTTTTTTTGTAAAACATAAAAGATGATGTTACACCAAGTAAATAGATATCCAACATGTCAGAATTTAAAACTGTGCATGCCCATGGAATGGCAACAAACTATGGTATATTAAATTATTTATAGGAGACACTTTAAAAGCCTTTACAGGTTACCAGCTTAGCATTACACAGGTGGTCTGGCTCTAGGATTATTGCTGTCATACTAACATTTGCAGAGATACCTCACATGTGTGTTGCGATCACTATTTACATATACATACAGGACCTACATGCACATTTTGCACATGGACAAGGAGGAGAGTTATACATTTTTTGTTATTTTATTATTAATTTCATTTATAATGTTTTTAAATTGTCTTTCTAAATTATTTTATTCAAGTTTATTGATATCACAAGGGATGAACAACATCCCTTTTGATAGCATGGGCAGTGACAAGTTCTCTTTATTGAGAGATCGAGGTATATTAGACCCCTGATCTTTCCTCTTCCCTCAAAAGCATCTGATCAAATCAAGATCGCTGAGTTTTTTTAAATATACTCTATATTTACAGGTGCATCCCAATAAATTAGAATATAATTCAAAAAGTGAAACTCATATATTATATAGATTCATTACACACAGAGTACTCGGCAATCACAGGGTGCTGGCGAGTAATCTCAGGGTGGGTGATTGACAGTGGACACGAATGGCGGCGCGTGTAGGGGCACCCCCTGCCCGGAACTGCAAATCATCACATATATATATATATATATATATATATATATGATTTTGAGCACCCCTGATGCCCTTTAGCAGTATTTCTGCTATACGGCGGGGGGGGGGGAAGCGGTTAAGCCTTTCTTTCTTTTAATTTTGAGGATTATAGCTTACAGCTAGTGAAAACCCACAATTCAGTATCTCAGAATATTTGAATATTGTGAAAAAGTTCAATATTGTAGACTCATGGTAGTTGATTTACTAAAACAACTTGTCTGAAAATGGTCACAATCCCATAAATGACTGACTACTTATAGGCGGAGAAAAGATTTACTAAAGCACTCAGTCCACAAACAGTCACAATTCAAAATTTACTAATGGTCACAAAACGTACCGATCATCTAAATGAGTTCACCTCCTAGAACCAAGTGAAAAACAGACAAAAATCTTTTTAATGACATAATCTCAAGCGATTTATACTTCCTATAGATATATTGAACATTTTAAAGAATAACTGCTTTAAAAGAATTCTAAATTTGTCTGTATAAAGTGATATAGTTTAAAAACTCCAGACAGGCATTGACGTCACCTAGTTCAAACATCCCAGTAGTGACACGATTAAGCATTACCAGACTAGAAATCCTTAGAAGTGCCTGTTGTTTTTTGGAAAAGTGCTATAGTAAATGCCTTTGTTTGCAAGTCTGGAAATGTCAATGGACAGGGTCAACCTGTTTTTGCAAAAGCGTGATTAATAAACAGGCTAACATTGTTATATATATTTACCACTATACATCAATACTTGTAACTATAGAACTGTTCAGAATCACCAACATATTTATACTAAGAACTTTTTCATTTCCTTTGTAATTTTATTTAGCTGTTTGTTTGGTTTTTTTTTTTGCTTTTTATACAATATTTATCATTTCTTGCTGTTTAACCACTAACCTACAGGGCACTTATACCCCCTTCCTGCCCAGGCCAATTTCCAGCTTTCAGCGCTGTTGCACTTTGAATGACAGTTGCACGGTCATGCAACACCCATATGAAATTTTTATCATTTTTTTGTGACAGATAGAGCTTTATTTTGTGGTATTTAATCACCTCTGGGTTTTTTATTTTTTCTTAAACAAGCCAAAAACCACTGAAAATTTTGGAAAAAAAAATTTTTTTTCTTAGTTTTTGTTATAAAATTTTGTACATAAGTGATTTTTCTCCTTCGCTGATGTGCGCTAATGAGGCTGCAGTGATGGACACTGATAGGCTGCACTGATGGACAGTGATAGGTGGCACTGATAGGCACTGATGGGTATTGACAGACATCACTGATGGGCACTGAAAGGCAGCACTCATATATGGCACTGATAGGTGGCACTGATAAGCGACACTGACTGGCACTGATAGGTGGCACTGACTGGCACTGTAAAGCGGCACTGATAGGCGGCACTGATGCACACTGATAGGCGGCACTGATGCACACGGATAGGCGGCACTGACTGGCACTGATAGGTGGCACTGACTGGCAGCACTGATAGGTGGCACTGACTGGCAGCACTGATAGGTGGCACTGACTAGCATTAAAAGGTGGCACTGACTGGCACTGATGGGTGACACTGAAAGGCAGCTCAGATGGGCTATGATATGTGGCATTGATGTGCACTAGTAGACACTGAAATGTGGCACTGATGGTCACTGGCAGGTGGCATGGATGAGCACTGACAGCTGGCACTGATGGACACTGACAGGTGTCACTGCTGGGGCTACACAGATCATCAGGGCACACTGATCATCAGTGCCCTGATGATCAGTGTACATATCCCCTCTGAGGGATGCCGATTACCGGATCTCCCCTCCTCATGAGCTGTCAGCGTGACCGCTCGTGGGGAGAGAAATGCCGATAACCGGCATTTCCCTATTTACATGTGATCAGCTGTGATTGGACACAGCTGATCACATGACTGAGCCGACATGTTCGGCTCTTTCCGTTGATCGGTGTGTCCGAGGCACACAGCACACCGCCGATCGCCTCGCTGCATGCTCCCGGAGCTGCGCATGCTCTGTTAGAATGGGAGGATGTCATATGACGTCCTCCCAGAACGAGAGAACCTCCTTGCGTCCGTCATTGTACTATATGGCGGGCGGGAGGCGGTTAAATAATGCTTGTTTTAATTTTTTTTTGTACTTCCATCTACATTGAACATGCCCAGGGACTTAGACTTTTGAGATATATTTAGCCGTATTAAAACTGCACACAATACTAGTGCTGAAGCAAAATAAAAAATAAAACGAATGTTGCACTGTATTACTAAATTTGAAGTGTTGGTCAGATGTATCCTAATACAAAGGATCACAATATTATCCCAAAAATGTGATATGTGTCCCAACATCATAAATATACATAAAATGATTTAAAAAAATTCAGAGGGTGACACCACTATTCCAAAGTGGCACACCAATAAAGAAAAAATATCAATTCATAAATCAATAAACATAGATCCTGATGGAAATCTACCACCTATATGTAAATGTCCAAATAAAGTAGGTAGTTATGTGTAGGAGGATGCAAATCTTGCCATATGTTTTCATGAATGACTATATGCAGCCTTGTGAATTCTACACCAACACCAATTGCAGCCTCTTACCAAGTGATATGACCCCAAATTATAGCTGGTATATTGTTGTCAACAATCATCCATCAACAGACTTGAAATCATATGGCAGATCACAGCAACAGGTTGTTCAATGGGAATCCATTGATAGCATGGGCAGGGTACATCAGCACGGATTCACTGTTTGTATCTCCCCCCCCCCATGTATATTGAGCCATGTAAGTGATAAGCAAGTGTTCCATACATTTTTTATTGCAGCCCGCAGATTTTTGTTTAATAAATATTGTGCATTGTCCAAGGATAAGTTGTGTGGCTTAATGTACATGGCGGAGTGGAGGTGAAAACAGTGAATCCTTATTTTATTTTATTTTTTTTTTTTTCTTTTGTGTGTTACCCTCTGATTTTTTTTTGGGGGGGGGGGGAGATGGATAACATTATGATTCTTTGTATTGGGATACATATAGCCAATGCACATCTGATTTAGTAACAAGGCACCACATTTGTATTCCATTTGAGATATATTGCTTGTTACACTGAGCATGTCCAGGGACTTAGGACTGGTTCACACCACACCGATGCAGTTTACATGCTTGTGACAGCACAGTGGCTAAGTGCTTAGCACTTCTGCCTACCAGCCCTAAGGTCATCGCTTTGAATCCCAACCATGGCACTACCTACTTTGAAGTTTGCATGTTCTCCCTGTGCTTGTGTGAGCTTCCTCCCACACTCAAAGACATGATGGTAGTTGTTTTGACTCCTGTCTACATTGTCCCTAGTATATAAATATGAGTTAGGGACTTTAGATTGAAAGCTCTTTGAAGGCAGGGCCTGATATGAATGTACAATATACATGTAAAGCGCTGTGCAAATTGACGGCATTATATAAGTACCTGAATTAATAATAAAGCATGTTTTTTGCAATCTGGTACATTTTAGAAGGTGTCACATAGGAGCTTACACTCTAAAGTCCCTAACTCACATTTGAATACAATTTAGACAGGAGCCAAAACAATTATCAGCATGTCCTTGGAGTGTGGGAGGAAACCCACACAGGCAGAACATGCAAACTCCATGCATATAGTGCCATGGTTGGCATTAAAACCGGCAATTCTAGTGCTGCTAGGCAGAAGTGCTAACGACTATCATTCAAGAATTAAGATATATAATTATAAGTAGGTATTATAGGAAAATTTGAATTAGACATTAAAACTAATTAGTCTTATTAGTCATAGAACAAGATATATATAGCTATTGCTTCACCTTATTCTTAGTAAATCAGCCCAACGGTGTCACACTCTAATCAGCTAATTAACTCAAAACACCTGTAAAGGCTTCCTAAGCCTTTAAATGGTCTCTCAGTCCAGTTCAGTAGGTTACACAATCATGGGGAAGACTGCTGACTTGACAGTTGTCCAAAAGACAGTCACTGACACCCTCCACAAGGAGGGTAAGTCACAAAAGGTCATTGCTAAAGAAGCTAGCTGTTCACAGATTGCTGTATCCAAGCATATTAATGGAAAGTTGAGTGGAAGGAAAAAGTGTGCTTGAAAAAGGTGCACAAGCAACAGGGATAACTGCAGCCTTGAGAGAATTGTGAAGCAAAGTCCAAGAATTTGGGCAAAGAGTGGACTACGGCTGGTGTCAGTGCTTCAAGAGCCACCACACACAGATGTATTAAGGACATGGGCTAGAACTGTCGCATTCCTTGTGTTAAGCCACTCCTGAACCAGAGACAGCATCTGAAGTGTCTTACCTGGGCTAAGGAGAAAAAAGACTGGACTGTTGCTCATTTTGCATTTTATTAGGAAATCAAGGTCCCAGAGTCTGTGCTGATTTGGGGAGCCATGCCATCTGCTGGTGTTGGTCCACTCTGTACAAAGTCAGCACAGCCCTCTACCAGGAAATTCTAGAGCACTTCATGCTTCCCTCTGCTGACCAGCTTTATGGAGATGCTGATTTCATTTTCCAGCAGGACTTGGCACTTGATCACACTACCAAAATTACCAATACCTGGTTTAATGATCATGGTATCACTGTGCTTGATTGGCCGGCAAACTCACCTGACATAAACCCCATAGGGAATCTGTGGGGTATTGTAAAGAGGAAGATTAGACACACCAGACCCAACAATACAGACGAGCTGAAGGCCGCTACCAAAGCAACCTGGGTTTCCATAACACCTCAGCAGTGCCACAGGCTGATCACCTCCATACCACGTCGCATTTACATAGTTAAATAGTTAGTCTGGCTGAAAAAAGACAAAAGTCCATCCAGTTCAACCATAAGAAAAAAAAAGTTATAATCCTATACCCACAGTTGATCCAGAGGAAGGCAAAAAAAAAAACTCAGCAAAGCATGATCCAATTTGCAGGGGAAAAAATCCCTTCCTAATCCCCTGGAAGGCAATCAGATATTCCTTGGATCAACTTTACCTATAAATGTTAATATCCAGTTATATTCTGTGTATCTAGGAAAGAATCCAGGCCTATTTTAAAGCAATCCACTGATCTGGCCAGGACCAACTCTTGAGGGAGTCCATTCCACATTTTCACAGCTCTCACTGTGAAGAAACCTTTCTGTATTTGGAGATTAAATCTCATTTCCTCAGGATGTAAAGAGTGCCCCCTTGTCCTCTGTGATGACCTCAAGGTGAATAACTCTACACCAAGTTCACTATATGAACCACTGATGTATTTATACATGTTGATCATATCCTCCCCCCTTAATCTCCTCTTCTCAAGAGAGAATACATTCACTTCCTCTAATCTTTCCTCATTAGTTTGGTTGTCCTTCTCTGTACTTTCTCCAGTTCCCCAATGTGCTTTTTGTGAATTGGTGCCCAAAACTGAATTGCATATTCCAGATGAAGTCTTACTAGTGATTTCTCCAGAGGAAAAAATTATATCTCTCTCTGGAGTCTATACCTCTTTTAATACAAGAGAGGATTTTAGAAACCGCAGCTTGGCATTGCATGCCATTATTAAGCTTGTGATCTACCAGAACTCCCAGATCCTTCCCCACCATTGATTCCCCCAGTTGTACTCCCCCTATTATATATGATGCATGCATATTCTTAGCCCCCAAGTGCATAACCTTACATTTATCAACATTAAACCTCATTTGCCACATAGTTGTCTAATTAAACAGTGCATTGAGGTTGGCTTGAAAGTTGGAGACATCCTGTAAGGACGTTATTTCACTGCAGAGCTTGGTGTCATCTGCAAAGACTGAAACAGTAATTTTAATCCCAGATTTTATGTCGTTTAGTCACCCACTTTAGATTATCTTGTAAAGGGACTATATGCTTGGACCTGAGCTTTTTACTAATAATATATATGAAGAGTTTTTAGGGGTTTGTTCTGCTATCTTTTGCAATCTGTCGTTTGTTTTCAGTTTTTGCGGCCTTGATTTCATTTTTACATATTCTGTATATATTCTTTGTAATGCTTAAATTGATGCAGTAATTCGTGCAAAAGGAGCCCCGACCAAGTATTAAGTGCATACTATGCTGTGCATGGACTTACTTTTCAGTAAGCAAACATTTCTGTATTAAAAATCCTTTTTTTCATTGGTCTTATCTAATATTAAAATTTTATGAGATACTGAATTTTGGGTTTTCACTAGCTGTAAGCCATAATCATCAAAATTAAAAGAAAGAAATGCTTGCAATATATCTGTGTGTAATTAATCTATATAATATATGCGTTTCACTTTTTGAATTGAATTACTGAAATAAATTACCTTTTTTATGATATTCTAATTTATTTATGCACCTGTATATATGTGTATATACTATATGTATATGCATTGTGACAAGCTAGCCAAATGTAATGGTGTAAAAGGCAGCTGGAGTGCAGTTTGTCATGAACACAAGTGAATTAAATCTTAGAGAGTAGGATTATGTTCCACGTCCAGGTGATTGGACACTGGCAAATAGCAAAGCTTGACATCACCCAATATAACCCCTCCCACTCCCAGTAATATTTATCAGCAAAGAATATCGGCATGAAACCAGAGGAAAGTGACCTACTGTTTGCCCTGTGATGTATGTCAAGAAAGGGATTTTACAGGTAAGTAAAATATTCTGTTTTCTTAATCATAGACACACAGGAGAGTTAGTCCTTAGACTACTGGAATGTTCAAAGGCAATTCTATGAGGGGTGGGCAACAGCAAACAGGCCTAAAAGTAACAAATGACAATGCCACTATAGGGCTGCCTGTAGAACTTTCCAAGGTTTGCTTCTGCTGACAGCCTGAACATCCACCTGGTAAAACTTAACAAACACATGAACAATAATCTAAGGTGACCACCTTAAAAACATCAAAAATGCCCTCCTGGGCCAATTCCGTGCAATGAGAATCACGATAATGCTTCCCACTTTGGTAATAAATAAGTGCTGTCTTTACCTGCCAGTCCCACACTG